GATCAGTAAACACTAGGGTTCAACAGGAATAATGGTCTGCAAACACTAGGGGGTCCAACAGAGATGATGGTAAGCAAACACTAGGGGGTCCAACAGGAATGATGGTCAGCAAACACTAGGGGGTCCAACAGGGATGATGGTCAGCGAACACAAGGGGGTCCAACAGGGATGATGGTCAGCAAACACTAATGGGTTCAACAGGGATGATGATCAGTAAACAGTAGGGTTCAACAGAGATAATTGATTGCAAACACTAGGGGGTCCAACAGGGATGATGATCAGTAAACCCTAGTGGGACCAAGATGGATGGTGGTCAGTAAACACTAGGGTTCAACAGGGATAATGGTCTGCAAACACTAGGGGGTCCAACAGAGATGATGGTCAGCAAACACTAGGGGGTCCAACAGGGATGATGATCAGTATACACTAGGATTCAACAGGGATAATGGTCTGCAAACACTAGGGGGTCCAACATAGATGATGGTCAGCAAACACTAGGAGGTCCAACAGGGATGATGGTCTGCAAACACTAGGGTCCAACAGGGATGACGGCCAGCAAACATTAGGGATTCCAACAGGGATGAGAGTCAGCAAACACTAGTAGGTCCAACAGGGATAATGGTCTGCAAACACTAGATTTCAACAGGGATGATGGTCAGTGAACACTAAGGGGTCCAACAGAGATGATGGTCTGCAAACACTAGAGTCCAACAGAGATAATGGTCAGCAAACACTAGGGGTCCAACAGGGATGATGGTCAGCAAACACTAGGGGGTCCAACAAGGATGATGGTCAGCAAACACGATGGGGTCCAACAGGGATGATGGTCTGCAAATACGAGGGGGTCCAACAGGGATGATAGCCAGCAAACCCTAGGGGATCCAACAGAGATAATGGTCAGTAAACACTAGGGGGTTCAACAGGGATGATGGTCTGCAAATACGAGGGGGTCCAACAGAGATGATGGTCAGCAAACACCAGGGGGACCAACAGGGATGATGGTCTGCAAATACGAGGGGGTCCAACAGGGATGATGCTCAGCAAACACTAGGGTTCAACAGGGATAATGGTCTGCAAACACTAGGGGTCCAACAGAGATGATGGTCAGCAAACACCAGGGGGACCAACAGGGATGATGGT